TTAACTACTTATGCGATTTGATGTATTAATAGGGATAATAGGTATTTTATATATCTAAAGATAATATTTTTATTTTTTTTTTAATTTGTATATTGAGATAAATTAGAGAAAAAATAAACCTAACCTAACCTTAACTTATATACAAATAAATCATTTTTTTGTRTCTGCTCTCCACCACACACACCTTAGACCAAAATCAATGGTATATACAGATTAACGATTATACCGATTTACACTCGGTAGTCAGTTTTTTGCAAAATGGTCCACGTTGTTCGGAGAAGTTTGAAATACTCGATCTGATGAGTAAAAGTAGTACACATCATCATTAGTTTGCCATGGATACAAAATGAGTTATATTTTTCAAATGCCTACCTAGAAGATGCCAACCTCATTTCCGAGAAGCGGTTTACGTACATCAATACTCAATGCTCAGTGATTGTGGGTCCGTCATTCCCTCCTCAATTTACTACTGTTATAACAGTGATAGTGCGTARTCTGTTACACCGTAAAAAATAAAAATTTATCGTGTTTTTGTAATACTTGTATAGAATACTATAATATAATGTTGGATAATAGCATAACTTCCATAACGCAAATTACTCAAACAAAATTATTTTTAAAAATAATTTCTATGGATTAAGAATTAACGCGCTATTTTAATTATTTGAGAAAACCCATATATTAATGATATTATAGGAACTAGGATATTAGAGAGCAGTTAAAAATAAATATAATTAATTTTATATTTGTTATTAAAGATCCTAATTCCTAAGAATTAATGTTAAAAGCGGAAAATATTATGTTCGGAACAAAAAATAAAATTAATTGACATAAYATGAGTAAACCTAAGTCGTAACTCAAAAATAATAATCTATTTTGTATTGCTGTTAATACATTATCTTAATGATTTATAGGGTTCGGGACTTGTATTAACATATTATTTAATAATGACTGCAGAATAATCTAAATAAGATAAAAATTTGTTTTATGAAATAACGGATTGAAATACAAAAATTTTGTTTGCATATATTTACCATTTTTAAGGCAAAACGCATATTTTACAAATTTTAGGTAATTTTTTCTAAAGGTTAACATTATTTATTTATTTTCTTGCGTCGGTCAATATACCTACCTATCGAACATACACAGTAATGATAAATAAATAAATGTTCATAAATTAACAAATAAATAATAATATAATGTTTATTGTTGTCAAAAAAAAAAATTATTCTAATTCAAATAAATAAAAAATTTAATAGCTATTAAAAAAATATTGAGTTGCATATTTTCGAGCATATTTCGGTTATTTTAAGTGTATATTTAAATGAATATTTCCTATAATTTGCATGCAATAAGTCCCGAACCCTAATGATGTATTATTTACCTCAATGAGCTCAATGTTTATTCGGTTACCAGTAACAGCAATAACCATCACCATGTATGGGCGTATATTAGATAGGTACTTATATATTTTTTTCATGTATACCATAAACAAATAACATCGTGCCAATGAACAAGATCAAGATTAACATAAAACCATAATTTATTAATTAACAATTGTTATTATTAAAGCCATTTTTTAAATCTAAAACTAGTGTAACGTGAATATAAAAATATTTAATCCAACGAGTAACGTAATTTTATTAGCTATTAGTTTATTACTTTTCAAAAGTAGGTACTACATCACAGGTATCATAGGTGTAACTTGGCGCCGGCGAATGGGAGGCARTTACCTCCACGACAAAAAATTGACTGCGAACTGAACTATATTATTACTACTATTAGTTAATAACAGGCTGTTCTGACTGTTCTGAGGCTGTGAGGCGCATAGCACACTCGTACCTAGTATTATGTTCATTAGCTACACACATACATCTAAATATAATAGTATATTAACTATATGGTGCGATTTGCAACAATTTTTTT